ACCAGTGGAGAAATCTACACCTGTCTCAGGTTGCCATTCACCCTGTCATGAGAAAGTACAGTGACAGAACACTTCTGAAGTGAGCAGCAATAACAGAAATAACTGAAGAAAGAAGCAGTAGACTTTGGGCTGGAAAGTAAAGCAAACACAGCAAGGTTTAAAACCATTTCATTAAATCAGTGTGTAACTCTAATGTAAATAMTATAGTAGTGTTACCCTCCAGTGCAAAAAACTAAGATACTTGAAAAGTCTGTCTTACCTCTAAACTACAGCACCAACACTACCAGCGAGTTCATTCCTGTAAAGATTATTGTATAGAAAGGGCTGAATTTGTGAATCAGTTGATATGCATATATTATCTCATAACCTATTGTGAGTGACTGATTTCTTCTATTGTCACCAGGTTTTCATGCTCCAACCATGTCCTGGCCAGTGGCAGGGACACTTATGATTGAACCAACAGAGTCTGAAGACAAGGCAGAGCTGGACAGATTTTGTGATGCAATGATCAGCATTCGGCAGGAAATCGCTGAAATAGAGGAAGGCAGGATGGACCCCCAAATTAACCCATTAAAGGTAAGATGAACATGTAGGGCAAGTTACCAGCATCAGCTTAACCCCTGAGACTGCGTAAGTGCACTTCCTCATCTTTCAGTACTTTCAAAAGTAACACTTTGCAACAGTGAACAGAAATCTTTTTTGAGAAACCATCAACTTTTTCAAAATTTGAATTTTGAGTTTTTCAATTCAGAAATCAGGCCTTTGCTGACAGAGCAGAGAAAGTTATTTCCACAAGCACTTAACCTATATTTCAAGGCCATCCCAAAGTGACAGAGGAGTGATGCTTATTTAGCTGGTTTAAGATGGGAAGTGTATTGACCTTAACAATAAAATAAAGATTAAATCAATTATTTTAGCAATGGCAACACAGAACTGATATCAGCTCAAGTTCTGTTCAACTCTTTCAACACTCTGCGTTTCTAAATTAAGTAAAAAGCCAAGAGCAAATTCAAGCCTTGGGTAGTATCTTTAGGCAAACTGAAAAAAATCTGAATACTGAATACTGCCTCCTGGTTTAAATCTGCTTTCTCCCCCCCGAAATAAACAGTGTTCTCAAGACACTSTCTAGACAGTAATTATTTATATGTGGTAATGTGATCTTGAAGGAGGCTTCACACTGGTATGTTCAACTGAATGTAGTAATTTCATGCCCTAAACATGTCTTGTTTTTGTAGATGTCACCACATACTCTGAACTGTGTTACTTCCTCCAAGTGGGATCGTCCCTATTCCAGAGAAGTGGCAGCATTTCCACTGGTGAGTACATCATGGGAATTTCGTGGTAATAGACGATACACTATATTGCAGCACAGCAGTCTCCTCCACTTTCCTTCATTCCTATCCATAAGCCAGTTGTTCAAAGCATAATCAAGTTTTCTGCCTCATGAAAACTGCTTCTTTGCAAGCATATGTTAGAGGACAYGGCTGCACTTTTTTAAAAATCTAAACCTTTTGACTCTCACCTCTATTATAAATGCTCGTTACTTTCAGAGCCTGCAAATAGATTCAAAGGATGACTTCACATAAAAAAAAATCCACTTTCACAGCATTTGTAATCCTTAAGCTTCTAATTTCCACAACAATTTGGTAGATTTGCTTGGTTGAAAAATTAAGATGGTTGSGTTTTCTTATCTCCCTTAGCCATTTGTGAAGCCTGAAAGCAAGTTTTGGCCGACAATTGCTCGCATTGATGACATTTATGGAGATCAACATCTGGTTTGTACCTGCCCACCAATGGAAGCCTATGAATCTCCATTTTCTGAACAGAAGAGAGCATCTTCCTAAGACTGCTTCAAGCTGCCTGTGTTTCTGACTCCATCAGGATAGCCCTTTCCTGATTTCCTGGGGATATTTATACTGTGTATATTTTGAATAATCACCACATTTGTTAATTGAATCGCTGCTCAGTTATAATGTAAATACAATCAGTATGTTAGATGTAAACAAAATGTGATTGTTCCACAGCAGTTGATGTTGGAAGTTGCCTTGATTCAGCATTTTGTCTTCTTTGTGCTTAAGTTTTACAAATTAACACCCAATTTGCAAAGTGGCATGGAAGATACAGTTAAAAAWGTAGAAGAGATGCAGATACATGAGGCAATAGTCATAAATATTAACTGCAGGAGTAATTGTTTGTATTTTGTAAAAAAAATGATGAAGTAGATTTTTCGATTTACTTCACATATTACCACTAACTAGCATTGCTAGTGTTAATATTTCATACTGATTTTTTTACCTATCAGTGTTAGTAGTYTAATAAAATTGGTCAGAATTTTGAGTGTTGTCATGTTTTGGATTTAAACTTTTCAGCTGGACTTGTCCAACAGAGCAGTATGAAATCATAAAGTTCACATTCTGATTTGTGACAAYTGCCACAGCAGCAATAAACTTCTACACAAAGGAAAATACTGTAAGAGATTAATATTTAAATAAATCTCTGATTTTCATAATGAGCTAGAATGATTCATCTTACCAAGCAGTAACAAACTTACTCTTTTTCTATATAACATCATTTTTCCTTAGTCGTTCCATCTAATCCTYTCATTCTAGAGAAGGCTGTGAACTGCTTAGTATTACTTAAATCCTGGGTAAAAAAATATTCTCTTTCCACAGTTTCTCATGTCTCTTATTTTGGATACTGGCGCTTTTTTATACAGAACRCTCAATTAGCCCTCTTGCTACACACAGTGCCACATTAAATCACTCCATAGGCAGCACTCAGACCTTACACAGAAATGTTTTTCAGCCTGTTCCCTGTCAAACTTACATAAAATCAGTCCTCTGACCAGTTACACAGTCAGACTTCTGTGCTATGAGCACATTTGAAAGGGAGCTCTAAGGTCTGTGTTTGATGTGTGTGGGTGCCCCTGAAGGGACCAACTCATTCAGCCACTCAATTTTGGTGAATTGGGAAATGGACACTGGAGTAACAGGGAGACCACTGAAAGGACCACACAGTTTTGCACCTTACAACCAACCACTACTCACCCTCTTTTTGAAAGTCCACATGCACACTCAGCCTGGGAACCCTCTCTGAAGTGACAGGCTGGTGTTCACAGCAAAGTTTTTAAGTGTCTTTTACAGTGAWAGTTGTGGAACTGCAACTTTTTTATTACCTCCATTATGACTTCAGTGGAAGGCTTTGTGCAGAGACTGCAGATGGGAGGAGACAGGAATGGCTTTCATTAAAAGAAAGCTAGGCCAGATACCAGTCTTTATATGAAAAGCTGCACCTACATCACCTCAATACAGAGCAAAAAAAATCAGAAGTTTTTACTCCAGAATTTACTACTGAAAAGGCTGTCTTTCAGTAGCTACTGATACAGTACTAAGGATGTAAAAGGTCTTAAAAAACCATTGCAGACTTGTAATGTGAGGAAAGGACCGTCTTTCTGTGTTGTCAATCTAACTCCATGGTCTTGACAATCTACTTTAATATTTGTTAAAAGGAATTTCACATTGCTTATGTCACTGAAAAGAATATACAAAAAAATTGGTTTACATATTTTTACATTAAGCAGATAACTCCCCACTGCTGACCTSAGGCAGACAGAATTTATCTTGTGAATTAATTAAATCTATCAAATGGAAAACAAAGTACTCTAAAATATTTTACAGTACTTAACCAAAAGGTAGAAAGCCACAAGTCTTACATACTTACTGCATAGATGTGATGACTGCTGTAAAGGTAAAATCACATCTTCTTTTCTCCAAAAAACACTGAGCTACCTGTAGGTAGCACTGTCGGCTACAGGCTGTACTTCAGCCTCAGTGCTGAGGGAATCTGACTCACCCACTGGACCAACCACCCTGCAGGAATCCCTCGGCTACCAGCTCTGTCCACAACCCAGTGGGACACACAGGGCTTCCTTCCACTCTGGTGCATGAACGGAGCCAGTGTTGCCATTGGATTTTGGTTAGGAGTTGTTTGGGTTTTTGCCTTTTTTTTTTTTTTTTTTTTTTTTTTTTTTTAAGTGTCCTTTTTATTGAAAAATGAGTCGAGGAATATAAAGCCTCACACCTCAAAAACAACAAGGCCACCTAAGAAACACATTTAGTAATCTGAAAAATAAATCCTGTGAAAATCTTACAACTTTAGTGGATAACAGTAAAAACCAAACTAGCAAATTTTCTGAATCATAAAATATTTAATAAGGTATATTTTGGGGGGGATATATTGTATATAAAATTTCAGATCACAATATGAAGCAATTTGAACCCTCTCCAAGCTAGCACTGCCTTTAATGATGTGTAGATGTATTGCCACTGATACAAGACCTACTAAAAGCATACAGTTTAACTAATACAGAAGTGGCTTTTTCATATGAACTATTTTTTACACAACTAGAGTGTCTTGAATACCCTCTTTAAGTGCAAAAAACACAGATCACTTTACACTAATGCAGCAACAATGCATTCATATTGTTCTCATTAGTCATTAGTAGTCAACTTGCATAAGATACAAGAAAAGCACAATGAAGCTCACAAAAATAGACTAAAAATCAGCCTGTTCTTGCAAAAAAATACAGCATAATAGAAGAAAAAGACAAATAAGGGATTATGCACACCACAGAATTTGCTGTTTAATCCAAATGGCTTAAGTGCTGAATCTGTTTCTTTTTCCTGGTTTTTTGTGGGTTTTTCTTTTTGGTTTGGGTTTTGTTAACGGGTTTTGTTTCGTTTGTTTTTTTTTTTTGTAAATCAAACCACATGGACCAGGCACAACTAATATTCAAGAGGCAGTGTGTAGCTAAAACATCACTAAATTTTTTTTCATCCCCAACATTGTTTGACACAATTTACTTTCCTCTGTCCTGAGGTAGTTATAAAAAAACAAATCATAAGTTAGGCATCAGCTAGGCCAGTAAGAGCTGAGGCTTTTCTTTTTCTTTTTTTTTTTTTTTTTTTTTTTTCTTTTTTTTTTGTAATTTTTAGTTTGTTTTTTTTTTTTTTTTTTTTTTTTTTTTTTTTTCTTCTTTAAAAACTATTTGTTAACTGGCCAAAACTACCTTTGATGTTAAAAGACAGCTGAGAATTAGAGCTCTCACAACACCAAAAAATGGCTATGATGGGAAGAGGGTTAGCTGCTTCAAAATGCGACAACATATTGAGTCCCATCAAGCTCGCTGGTCCACTGCTGAATTTCCCATGTTATTCCCCTTTACTGTCTATAAAATCACTGGGAGAAGTACAGAAGGATCTGAGCACATCATCGTCCTTTACTGTAACCAGGAAAGAACTGGTCCAGTAGTGTCTGCAGGATCTTGTTGGGAGCCATGGTGTAGCCCTTCCCCAGGTCGTGGCGGCACGCAGGGCAGGTGAACACTTCAGCTCTGAAGGAGCGCTGTAAACAACTCTAGGACACGCAAAGACACAGAAGTAAATTGTGAGAACTTTGTTACAGAGCAACAGCCAAACCAAAGCTTTCCTGTACTACCAGGAAAAAGGAAGTCTTTTGCCAAGCCCTCTGGCACCTGAGTCTGCCTGTGACTAAAATGTCCTAGCRAAAGAACTCTTCTCTATGCTGGGATGCAAAACACTGTGCTTGGGAGGAATTCAKTCACCACTGAGATTTCCCCTTCATTTCCACTAACGCCTTTCTGTGAGTCACAGACAATCTTCAGCTCACTTATACCTTCACCGATTGCCATAGTTTTCCAGACCTTCATTTCAAGAGGAAGGTGAATATATCACATATTCTGATTATGTAACAACCTCCRTCTATCTCATCATAATAGATACAGTTAAGATTTACAGATATATTTGGATAATACAATCTCTAACACAGCAGCATCTGTGCTGTCATCTTTAGTATGTTGCTGCAGACTACTGGGTATCATAAATTTGTCAGGGCAGATTTGTGTCCAAACAGCAACAGCAGCTTACTGTCAAACGATTCCTTACAACTTTTAACTGGATGTGATATTGTATTCATTTACTGACACCTTCAAATACTGTGCTTTCTGGGTTTGTTGCCATCCAACTTTCTCTTCTTTCTTTTTCCRTGGCTTTCCAACTTCCATAATGCTAACCATTAACTCCTTCATAATAGATCTTACATTTTTCAAGAAGACATAATCGTTTTATGTATGCAGGCCATGCATAACAACACCCTGACTTTTACTGGTGTGATACATACCTTCTTGAACAGCAAACTTGCATTAYCGAATACTGTACTAGGATGATAATAGTTCCTTTTAGGCTCTCAGGCAGAAATATTAGGATGGCAGGCATCATTCAAATAAGCACAATTCAGTGCATGATTCTGCACACACCAGGGCTGTAAAATTAACTCTAGTCCAAATATGATTCCAAGTTCCCTATAATATATCCAACTAACCAAAATTTCAAGACACATGAGTAATGTACTGTCTTTCGTGGCCCCCTACCTAACATGAACAATGCCTAGATCAACTAAATAACATAACTTTCTCTGAAAGAGCCCAAATAATTTTCCAGGGTATTTACCCTGCACCCTTTCAAAACTCTTAATAGAGAGTTATAAAATTATAAAATCTGGCTTTATTCTTTAGCTGAGTAAAATTAAATCATTGATACTGCACCAAAATCTAACCTCTGGACCTAACCAACTCCTAGTGCACTTCCACTGATCACAAAGCCATGACAGCAATGGCAAACTTCACTCATTTTTTATCTATCAGGAACTATATGAAACACACTTCCACACTTTATTACACAAAATTAAGGTTACACACAAACATTAAATGGAAACTTGTTTCATGTTTTTGTTTAGAATGTTATGCAATTATTATTGTCTTTCTAAAATGCATATGGCTTTGGTGACTGGTGTTTCAGAGCCAAGAAAACAGCCCAGAGCAARGCAGTTTATTCTTACTTTACAGACGTTGTGGAGGCACTCTGTTGTCACTGGCTGGTAAACCAACTCCTGGCAGCAGACACACATAAAGGATTGTTCCAGTTTCTTCAGAAAATTCTAATGTAGGGCAAAGGAATAAAAGAGACAAACTCTATTATAATTCTCATAAATGCCACTAACTACATAAAGATGATGGACTTCCAGAAGTTCTTAAGTCCTTCATATCCCTGAGCCCAGCCTTCTAGAATTAATCAGGAAGCAGGTTGTTAATGGCTTAATTTCCCYGCTCTTCTACAAATTGAATAATCACGTAATCAAAGAATGGGTTTGGATTGGAAGAGACCTTAAACAACACTTATTCCAATACCCCYGCCATGGGCAAGGAATCTTTCACTAGACCAGGCTGCTCAGGGCCCCTTCCAGCCTGGGCTTGAACACTTCCAGGGATGGGACATATGTCTCCAAGCAAACTGTCATAAAATTATTTTCTGCCAAACAAAAAATAGTGACTAAAACCATCTTTTTTCATGTATGATTTCTGACATCAGCAAGCATAAAAACTACATTTATTATTTTGGAGAAAATATGCTCTCTTCAAAARTGAAAATGAATTAAAATCCACTTTTAACTTCAAGATGGTTTTTGAGAAGAAAAGTTCTCTATTATGGAAGCATAAACCCATCAAGAACAAATTGCACAAGCGAGGCTTATTTTCTTGAAATATAAAAGCAATGCTATGCAGTCCGTATTTAGCAAAAGTTCAATAAAGAAATGATGTTTTAAGAGAGATTCAAGATTTCTCCTAAAAATCAAAAGAAAATACGAACAATAAAAATTATGTATGCAACAAACATACTGGTCCTTCTTTAAGAGAAGCAAGTACTTCATCCCACAGCTTTTGGTTCATGCAGTCTTCTCTTATCAGCCACTGCTGCTCCTGGGTCAGCTGGAAAGCTTCTCCCTTCCCCCCATCTCCCATCTTCATGGCTTTGGGTGTATTTTTAGGTTCCTCTATAGCTGCTTAAAATGATGACCATCAGACACAATAACAAGTGTTAGTTGGAACAAATAGAAGGGAAAGACAGACCTGTTTCTAGAAAGAAACATGGATTAAAATGGATTACATGCATGAAATACAGCAAACAAATTCCTACTCCAACTCATACTGTTCAGCATTGTTTTGCATTGCAGCATACAGTTGCACAGAAGAATGTTCACTTTTTTTGCAGAGCTTAAGAGAAAAAAACACAGTAGGAGTAGTGAAAAGGACTAAGATCCCTGCACTACCACTTAGTTACAGAGCATGTGCTTATCAATTTACATTAGTATTCCAAACAATTTCACACTTCTGCAAAGATCTCATGACTTAGAAATTATAACATGACAGATTTTGCGGATGTATGCTAAAAAAGTAAAAAAAAATACCATCGTCAATTGTCCTTTTCTGGTTTCCATTACTTTGGCTGGTTGGCTCCTGTTTCACAGTTTGCTTTTTAACCTTATCTTTCTTCTCCTTACTAGCCATGGCTTCCAAATAACCTTCTGGATACTAAAAATAAAAAGCACAAATTTAGAACAAGAACCACTGGCATAAGGAATAACAAAATACCAAAAAGATTAACTTCTAAAAGACTTTGACTACATACTAAAAAAAATTACAAAATAATTCTAAAATCCTATTTGATGGAGAAAACATTTGAATTAGTATTTATCACTAAGAAAGCATAGTCAAGTTGAAGAATCTAATCCATAGTCAGCTGTCTTAAACTGTATATCTGTACTTTTGTGCTTACAAAYGATACAAATCAGGCAGATGAAGGTTAATCATCATCATGACATCATCAGATGATGGGATGCTGTAAAATTGCCTTGTCAAGAATACATGTTAAGTCTTCCCATCTTTCCATCTTTAATGGGTTCTGCAATGCCAAAATTTTCATGGGTCAGCCTATTTCCATGCCTAAAATACACTACAAATAAAAACTCCTCAGTCACATCAAGGGAAAATACATAAAAACACACAGCTTGTTGGTTTCTCAGGCAGGCTCTAGTCACTTGTAGAAATCTTGGTTCTAGCCTAAGAATCACAAAACTGGACACACATTCCAATTTTCCAATCCAAATATGCAAAGCATTTTACTGCTAAGGCAGAAAACTTCATTTGCAGTTCCTTCTGCTGAAYCACTATTAAAGGGTTCTTCCAATTTGCAGATAATCTGTAGTGCTCTTTATTAAAAGCTGCTACAAACAGTGAAATATAAGAAAAAAATGGAGCTTYAATTTAACTGCTTTCTTTCTCTGGAATTTGTTTACTGGAACTAAGAATAAAAACAACTGTCCAAATCCTGATGCCAACCTGTAGGCTTAGACCCAGCTTCTTTGACCGCTCCATTCCTTCTGAAGTCCAAGGTGCAGGCTCAGCATCATCTCTCCTCAGAAGATAACGCCAAACTAAAAATCCACATTTTCCRATTTCTGGCCAATATTTCACCACCTAAAGAACAATATAAAATTACTGCCATTATTTTATCACAAGCCAAACACATGCACATCTTCATATTTAATTGTTAAAGAAGAAATTACAAGACCAATTTATATATTACAATTAATAATTGTTATAATTAATTTATTATTACTATTGTTGTTGTTTTTATTGTTATTATATACAGAAGTTCTTCTCTGAGGTTTGAAATCTTTATATTTCTTACAAACACAGTGCTCTTAARAGGCACACTCCTTTGTTTCAGAAACTAAGTCTTTAAACACACAAAAGGCTAGGATATAATTGGAAGGACTGAAGAAATAATAGAATAATCTGATTTCCAGGAATGAATTTAACTCGGTAAGCACATGCAAAGCAGCTTACATATKCAACCTTATATATCCTATTACAGATTATATTCTATTATTACTGCTCTGAATAATTTTATTTTGCTTCACTTTGCAGAATAAACTAAAGCTAAAAAGTGAAGACAAAAGAACTGTTTCTTTCATGTAATAATGAAGAATTTGCAGACTAACATTGAGGCTTTTTAGTAATAGCTGAACACAAATTTTATATTGTAGAGATCAGAATACCTTGTAAATGCCATCGTATCTGTTGCCTTCCTCTGGGGCATATTTGCTGATCCGCCGTCCTTTTGAACTGCGAACTACTCTGACTGGCTTACCAGCTCTCCAATTCTTGGACTCTGCTCCATTTTTGTCATCCAGTGGGGCATCACAGTTAAGGGCCAATGCCCTAGAAAGACATTTAAAGTCCTCATGAACTAGATTGTTACACCCAACAGAGTTTTGAGAGCTAACTTAATTATGTCATAGGTGTTCCCCTTGTCTCATTTTCCTTTATTAAGCAGCATAGACCTGTTCAGTATGTTTTTAGCAGAACTGATGGAAGAAATGAGATCCATGCTACAGTGCATGGTAAGAAAAAAAAAATAGGAATACAAAATATTTTGTTGTCTAGGTTCCAGATGAAAACTCATCCGAAATTCTTAGATAAAACAAACCAATACTTTTAGACTTAATATTTTTCATTTTTAAAAATAATGCCTTCCTTAACAGTATTGAGGATATTAAAATTGTGACAAAAAGCAAAGTTTCCCTATCGTTATCCTTCATTAATAGACTTTAAGGCTTTTTAAGTGCATACACAGAAGTAATGCACTTATATGATGAAAAGCATATAGAGAAAAAAGTACATAATAACTACCCAAAAAAGTTCTACTGTACCTCTCTCACATGATGCTTAAAATACCTCAGAGGAGAATTTAGAATCATAGTAGCTAACTAAAGGACAAGAAAACTCCTGTACCCATGAAGACCATGTTCTAGAAACTTGGAGCAAGACAGCATGACCAAAGAAACAGTATCTCTACTACCACAGCCTGATTTGAAGGGATTGAAAACCCTTCAGAATAAGCAACAACCCAAATGATGGATCTCAAAACAGGAGAAATAATATGGGTTATAAACAGACATGGTGCAAGTACAGAACTCACRCAGAAAACACTAAGAGGCACATTATGCCAAAATTAAATATGTGTCCTATATAAAAACAAAATTTGTAAACCTATCTGAACAAGCAAAACCAATACAGATTAAACTCCATGGAAGTATCATAATCTTCTGAATCAAAGTGCTTGAGAATTTGTATCAAGTTCAGTAAATGATAGCAGAACATTGTTACTCCATGTGCACTAACGCCTTCAAAGCTAAGTAGTTTTGTCTGTGGATCTCTCACTTGCTAAGAGCAGAGAAATGCTGACACTAAGGACTCCAGCTTTTAATTTTTTCCTGAAACAATTTTGTTCTATTGATAAAATATGCTTGTAAACCTTTTGCTTAAACCTACTTTCATCTTTCTTCCATCATTCTTGTTCTTTTCCACATCACATACCCGTTCCCCCTCCCTTTCTCAGCAGTCAAGTCAGGCTTTTTCTCCTCTAGACAGCTTGAAAGAATCCCTCTCCAGTCTGTCTGAGAGCAGCAGAACTTATACAAATGCAGGCCTGGSAAACGAAAGTTCTCAGCGACTCTCAGCATCCCACAGGTGCTCAGAGGTCAGTTGTGTAGTTGATTATGCTCTTAGAGACAGAAAAGGATGGAGTACTGTCTGTTCAGGCAGGCTTTTGGAGAACAGAAAAACACTTCAAGCARATGACTAATTCTTCTCTGAATGTATGTTCTCTTTCAAGTACCTGTTTTGATAAAGCAGCACCCTAATTCCTTGCTTTTCACAGAAAAACATGATGGAAGAGAGGGCTAGCAAAAGAGAAAATATTTATCATGAAAATGAACATGCTTTCTTCCTACTTAAATTTATAACTGATTTACCCACTGGAGAAGAAACTTTAAAAAAGAAAAAAACACCTAGAATTAGAAAATTTCTGAGTTTTGACCAACTTCTCATTTAATTAAAACAGTCTTCTGAGAGTAACTGTATAGCAATTTCAACCAGAGGCGTGACTGCAAGCTGCAGCAGCAATACAGCAATGTATTCCATTGAGGAGTGTATTCCTGTAAAGTAAAAAACCATAATGCTTGATAAAATGCCTCTTTGCAGCAAGAGGCATTGCTGTTTACGAACACAGCACAGGAGTGAAAAAATACAGCAAAATGTTAGTTTTAAGTTAAAGCACTGGAACCCAATTCTTTGATTTGGAATACTTTCAAAATTTATCTTCAAAACTTACCTATTCATGTGTGTTAATGTCTGATCAAATGAATGTTCTCCAATTCTTTTATTGCCAGAAAGATCTCTACCTCCACTCCCAGTGTAAGTGAATTCATCTCCTCGATCCTGTGCAAGAAGATTATCCTTTGGTTTAATGCTCCAAAGTAAAGTAACTCAGTAAAAAAAAAAAATAACCCACAACTTCTTTGTTCTATTTACTCGGATTAAAACTGTAATCCAAGGTACGAAAGACATGTTTTCAATTTCAGTATCAACATCCTACAGCAGCTGCACCAGTATAAAACTACTGGTCTAGATGTAACCTCTTCATCAAAAAATTCTGATTAARAAATGCCTGCCTTAAAAAAATGCTACTTTTGAGTTTTTATAAAGCTATTTTGGAGAAAAAAATCTGAGGAAGAGAACATATTCTAGCAAGTGGCTACTTGCTCTTGAGCTTTCATTGKGTTTACAAGAATATTGTGTTTGTAAAATAAATAACAACTACCTTGGATCGATCACATCAGTCACTTCAGCTTGTGCAAGGAGCTCAAAAGTACATACAGTGCTGCATTATGTACAAGGCAAATGCTTTAATGAAATAGTAATTCTAACTCTTCTGAATTACTAAAGAGTTTAAAATAGTTTAGATTCGTATTTTGTAAGCTAAAAAAATTCTGTACTGTAGTTCCTATGCGTAATTTTCATGAAATTGAAGGAAGCCTGATAAAATTTTTTATCATGAACTGCGAAAACAGTCAAAATCTAAATACACTTAAGTAAAGCTTGTGTTTCTACTTCCTGTATAAAGTCTGTCACAGAATTTCATATTACCTCTGGGAAATTAATGTATTTCCATAAATACATAAATATATACACTACAGATATACTTAATGTGTTATTTCTTTGGAGATCTGTATTTGGTACAAAGCATGTAGCAATTGTATAAAATAAACATTTAATAGGAAAATAATGTTTATATGAATTTTTATAGCAAAATTCTGAACATCTACACAGTAATAAAATTCAGTCAATTTCTTACCACTATCAAAAGTCTGACATTATTTAGGATCCAGTGCAAGACTGTTACACATATTTCATAACTGACAACAGCAGAAAAAGAGAAAGTTAGAAAGGGAAATGCTGGTTGAACAAGGCCATAGATAAATTACAGAAATTAGGTTCATTTTATTTTGTGTAGGGAAAACCTAACAGTAATTTAGTGGCAGTTATCTGACATACTAAATGAAAGGTAAGTTAATGAGTATACTCAAAACCTAGCAAAGACATACATAAACTCTGGTATATGCTTTCTTAGAACAGTCTACTTATTCTACTAAATTAATCTTCAAAAACTAACAGAAATAGCATGAAGTTCTATTAAGAACAGTATATGAAACAATTTTAGAAGACCAAGTAGACAAGAGCCATTTACTAAGAAAGGATGTAAAATAATTTGTATAAGGTAAGGTATCACAGAACTAGAACTAATCACAGAGTATGTTTAATTTTTCAGTGACTGTCAAACACTGACCACAGAAAGATGATCCTGATAATAGTATGAACAAGGATGGATTTTCTTGATCTATCAACTGTTCAAACAAAATGTGCTTTGTCAATGAATAAGAAGCTTATGTCAAGTTCAGAAAAATAGAACCATTATCTTTAAAGGCCATGAATCCAGAATAACCTGGGTTCTGTAACAAAGAAACAGACACATGTTCATGATGTGGCAGGGTGGGGAAGGCTGGTAAGGTAGTTTTTGATGTACAAGCATAAATAAACTGAAACTAGAGGTGTTATTTCCCTCTTCTTAGAACATAATTTTGAGATAAATACTGATATAACATATATCTATATAACATGCATATATGAGAATGCAAAATAATATATAAAGGGCAGAAACACTTCATATGAAAGCAAGATGGGGAAAATTATTTACAAGACAGAACAGGTTCTTGATAAACTTTTATTTATCAACTACCAGGCTGTTGATAAATTTTAATGAGAAGAAAATATGGAATAAACTTTTACTTTTTGGCATAACAGAAAAACATAAATCAAGGACGAATTGCTATAGACATAATCAAAAGAAACCTCAAGAGAGCACGTATAAATGCAACATTCCTACTGGCACACACTTCTAAGGAAAATAGTTGAATGGAAATGGCCTAAACCCAAAAAACTTCCAGCATCTTCAGAGAAAGATTGAGTGATTCTCTGGTGGTAGTCCAACTAAAGGCAAACGGAAAAAATTGTCCTCGAAGAGACAATATAGAGAGAARTCCTATGCATACATGCTCACCTCCTGAGCTTATCCCACACTTCACAGTTTACATTCGCTTCTCTTTAATTATCAAAATCCTCTGTGCATAAATAAACAACTGGAAATCCAGGGGAAGGATAATGGAGGATAAATGGAACACTTAGGGAGCATAAATATTACAGGTCAAGTTACAAGAAGATGACTTCTTTTAACATCCTCCAATGTAAGTAAGACTCAMCGCAACTTTATTTTTTAGATGAACTATACTCCCTTATTTCGTATCAGGTATAATAGAAAAAAATCCCCAAGGATTGCAGGGAACAAAGACACAGTTCCTAGAACTGAAGGGAAATGACAGAGATCTCACTACTGATCTGGACTGGATGAAGAGGAATGGGAGGACACTTGAACCTCTGATACAAGAACTAACTCTTGTAACTCTGAAACAGGAGAGGAAAAAAGTTCAGAGCACCCATAAGTGTTTGTAGAAAAAGAAAAAAAAAATGGCAAGACAAARTGTCCTTAGAATGCAATAAATGCGGATATGAATGTAGCCCATGACTCTGGTACTCCAGAGATGTAATGGGAAACCTGCAGTACCCACTTCCACTGGGCTTATGGTGTTTCACATTTAAAGTGAAGGATGTCAGAAATATTCACAGTTTATTAGTTGGGATGATTTGAGAGTAATGACTCATCAAAACAATTTCTCAACAGCTTTGAGTTCTATCTATAGATAATACAAGATCTTCCTACCACCTACAATAACTTACAAGATCTTCCTACCACCTACAACCCAGTATGAGACAGGCAAAGCTATTTTTGCCTCAAGAGGATCAAAAAGAAGAACTGAATCACAACGGTTCAACAATTAAAGAAAACATATGGCAAAAGGAATTATTAATGTCTGTGTGATCTTCTTAAACAAACAAAATAGCTGTCAAAAAGCCTATCAAAACAGTCTTATCTTATCCCTTCCCTTCTTCCTACATTCTCCCATTTTCTTACCTTAGAATATATAATTCTGCCATTTTTCTTCTGCTTTCCACAGCTTATTTCCACTTCCTTGCACCAAAACTGTCWTTCAACAGCTAGTAAGAACTTTGTTATTCTGTCTTCTCTTAATGCCTTCTGTATGTCCCTTTTTCTTATGCTGTGTCCATAAAGTTATTTCTTAACCATCCTGTTTGTAAAGTTTGATCACATTATAGAGCAAATGAACTTCAGCCACTGTAGCATTGACCCAGTATCTCATACTGAGTGTGTGAGTAGAAGACAAGCCTGAAGCTCTAGCACTACAAGCCAGTCAGCCTCAGACAGCCAGCACAAGCAGTCARTCAGTTGTATTAAACCATACTCCACTATCCAACGTTGCTACGTAATCAGATGTAAGTCTAACAAAGAAATAATGTAGAATGAAGAAAGTAAGATTTTGAGTTCCATTGAATTGTTTGACCACATTATTTCTATGGATTGCTTTTATGCACCACCAGCTGACAGGGACATCAGCTACTTACTAGAGTATCAGCTATCTCAAGTTAGCTCTCAATTTTTTTTTTCTCTTTCTATTAACAACTCTGCTATTATGCTCAAATTCCAAAGTTTGGTCCCAACAGATAATGCAGAAGTTGTATTTATCAGTAACAGGTCTAGATTTTCTAGATGAGTTTCAACCTTCCATCGGAGCAACTAAAAAMATACGTCTTACTGGCTGGCTTTCTCGATACAAGAAATTCCCAAATATCATCACTTCATAAATCCCTCCAGTCATCAGTTTCACCTAAGTAAAATGTGATAAATAAAAGCTAAGAGCTTGTTTATATGATAAAGCAAAATTAAAAAGTATTAAGCCTTTTTAAATGAAGTTATTAAATCCAAGTAAAATATTAACTATCAAGCAATTACATTTGAAAGCATTATCTTTCCCTCATAGTAGGGACATCTGAAACTGAATCATGTCATCATTCATCTCCATTAAACTCTGTATGCATGAAGTGCTGACAGCATTGGTCTGCCTATTGTGTGATATATTTTTGATCATTTCATGGTTTAGCACTGCAGAAAAAGGTTCAACTAAAAAGGAAGGGCTAAACTACAGATTTCATGAGTAAATCAATAAGAATCCCTTGCATTAAGTGCAAAGTCTTGATACATCATAATTGGTCGTTCTGAGTCTTCTCCACAACTGCCCCCGACAGCAAGAACCTGACAGTTTCATGGCACATTCCACAATGATGAAAATATTTCACCATTGTAGTTTCCATCGATCTACATGGCTGAACAGTGGGAAAGACAGCTTCAAAGCAGGAAACAGCAGAAGGTGCTGACTGTGATGGAAGTAGGGCAACATTTAAAAATCAGAGTCCTAGAAAACTACTGGATGTGAATCCCACTTTCTTACTCCTTTCCATGTACAGCATCAAAATGGTGGATTACCAGACTTTTAAACCAAACATTATTATGTAAACAATTCAGGCTACCCAGAGTGGATTAATTCTCTTTTGCTCGATTTAAAATTCATTCTGACTTCAAACCAGGTTCACTAAAGACAGAGAGCTTTTCAGATCAAAGACACTTTCCTGTAGTTGGAGTTTACTTAGGAGATACAACAGTTCTTAGAGACAACATTTTTGAATTATGGTTACCTTTGGTTCTCAGTTGGAGATCCAAAATCAATTTATTTTTTGAGGGAAAAATATCCTGCAATCTGTATGGCTAATCTAATTAGCTTACTATAATCCYAATTAAAGCAATGCATGGAAAATCAAAAAGACATGCATTTCTTATTAAACATTCATTTAATGAAATGGTTTGTGAATGCTACATTCCAGGCACTGAATGGGTTTAGTATAAAATAGCAACAAATCTAAACAATGAATATATTGCCTGGGGCCCCTTTTGAGTCATTAGAGTGATTTTCTTTTGCTGTCTCAGAATATTTTATAAGAAGATGGAAAAGATCACACCAGGTATTATTCTCTAAGAGATTCTGAATCTCAGTTCAGAGAGGTCCCTTATAATCCTATGCACAACAACCTACAGAAGAAACAATTTTTGTTTGTATTACACTAGAGCACACCACACAATTTACTATCTTTACAACACTACCTCAACCCAGCAGAAACATGAATCTTGAAACTTTTCACAATAAACAACAGTTTCAATCTAATACATAAAAACAATGACACAAAATAAGAGGGCAAGCTTTCAATGTAGAAGTTAAATTTCTTCAGCTGCTTGATTTGATGAACAGACAAATCAGAATATGTTCATCATGAACACTGTGACTGCACACAGTATCTAGTCTTTAAATGTTAATCTGTTCTGAAATCTTATATTATAAGATATATCTTATATTACTGAAAGACTTCTCAATTTTTTCAGGTAATGTTCCAATTATGGTTACTACCAAARCAATACCAGGAGATCAGCAATATTAACATATTCAAAATAGAAGTTAACTATAGATAAGTCATGTAACTTRTCATTAAAATTCAAAGTTATCCATTTTCAGGAGAGAGATTAATGTGCAAATATTTTATATGTAATTAGACATGCAAATAAAGCTTCATGTGTAAAACAATTTCACCCAATGCTCATTTTGTAAGTTATGCCTGTACCTGTTCTCAGTCTCTAGGGTAGATCTGARAGAACTGGCAAAACTTGCTATTAATGAGCATTCCAATACCTCCAGAACATCCCAACTTCAGCAAAACTGGGTCTCCAGCATTATAAGTTTCTAAAGGYATGGTATAAAGATGTCATTATCTGAAAGTTAGACAGTGAATTTCRTTTCCTGCAATATGTTTTTGTAATTATTTTATTCCAAAGTGTGGCTTTGTTGATTTAAAGCCATAAGAAGAGCATTAAGATGACACACATCATCAGTGTGCRTAAGTAGTGCATAAAGTTTATAAACACACAGTGTAACACTCTTCCAAAATGCATTTATTTCTCAATTTCATAAAACTTACACACAAATACCTTTGCTGTACCACTGAAATTCCAGAGTCATTTCTCTTTTTTGGTACGTATACAATAAAGTGAATAGATGTGAGCAGATGTTTTTACCTGTATTTTTATTTAAAAGTTTCACTTGTCAAATTAGTTACTGTACTTAGGATGCTTATAAGTACAGAACTTGATTTTTCTGTGCATATTCTTACAGGAGTTTCATCTGACCCTTTTAAAAAAAAAAACATGAAAAATGGAAGTAAATTGGAAAACAAAATCTGGCATATGAAAGTAGAAGAAAAACTAATTTCAATAATGCAACTGAGAAAGAATATCCCTTGTAATATTAGTTTAGAAAAGAGAGAAAACTTGATATTCATACAAGTTTTTAGGGTATTTTCTGCAACATTTCTCCCCTATTATGCCTTTTCAGAGTTATTTATGTCTTTTAGACTATGAAAGTAATTAGGTATCCACAAAAATACATGGTCATAACATCACTCAGATGAACTGAAAAGACATGCAAAGGATCCAATCAAGTTTATTAAATATTTTTAATTGAATAATTACCACCTCAGAAATAAGAAGAYATCAGTATCACCACTAAAATGAATCAAAAAAGAACTCTACAGCATCCCAGTATAGCAGATACAACTACTGTGCAACAGTGTTCTTAGGGTCTGAGAGCTTGGGCTGGGGTAGACACTAAGGACACCATATCCATACACCAAGTACCTCCTCATGACACTTGTTGAAATAGAGACACACACTCCTTCAGAGGCAATACTCTGCAGCAGCAGCAGCAGCAGCAGCTGATAGATGCTGTTGGCAAAGAATATGTTACATTCTGATACTAATTCATTCATATGCTTTTTTTTTCTTCTGTGCCCTTTTCCTTGTGACTGACAGCTAAGTGTTTTAGAAAAACAGGTTGCTTACTGTATTATCCTTCACCTGATGCATGATTCAAAACKCCATTTGATGGACTGGAACTGCAGGAAGGGATGTACCTTGTGCAAACATTATTTAATTGAAGAAAACAGTAATCTCTTCATAAATAAATGTTGGTCAATGCCTCAAGATGAAAACTGAAAGCAGTTACTGTTTTGTTTAGCAGTATAATTGCTTTTGTTGCTCTACTTAGAGAATAGAAAAAAAAAAAAAAAGCAGATCTTTTGCCCAGCACCTTTAGGGATCATAATACAAAATTCTGAGACTTTCTTAAGAATTCTGAAAGTGCTTATTAGTAGGAGCCAAGAACTTTCAGAACTTCATAGTATCAAGTAACAAATTTATTCTTGCTTCATTAAAATAAACATCACATAATTAGAAATACTGTTTGGAATGTAATTAAATCGTGTCCAAAGCAGAACATAAAACATATTATTTGCATATTATTACACCATCAGATTTTGTATTATGCTAAATTCAGACTCCAAAAGTATACTGAAATGTAACTATCCCAAACAATGTCAAATGCAGCTGTAACTGATGTTTTGCTTGAATGTAAGTTTGAGCATAAGCATTCTTTAAGACTTTTCTTACCAAAATACTAAGAACTACTTAATTTTTCAGTAGTAAAAATTTTTGTGGGKTTTTTTTTCCCCAGTCATATCTGCCTAAACATTAGTTTTAGAATAGACAACGAATATATTTACAGACATTGATACATACGATGCATTGGAACAGCAAGACCATTGCTCGCATGAATGACATACCACTTCATCTTCAAATCCCCCAGCTAGTACGAGTGAGTAAGCTCCATCATTGCTGCGACCATGGATTCCACCAACATGGGGCCTGTGAACACCTGCTTCACTCACCTGGAGACAGAAAAAAGACAGTTTCTACCAATTTTTTTCGAAGACCCAGTCACCTACAACCACTTCTGCAATCAATTTCCTGTTTAAAATATTGTACAGTGGTTTCTGTGTCAATAGTTAATAYATGACTGCCATTAAAGGTGGGAATTCAACTGTGTTTTGAGGAAGAAAAGCTAAAAGTAAGAACATTCAGAGAATAAGCAGAACAATGTAGGACAGTGGTGACACTGAAAGATGTAAAGGTACACTTTCTTCTTTGGAAAAAATCTCCAAAAATTTTTCTATAAGCACTACCTAAGGCTCTACCCACTGCTAAACTCCACTTGCACAGCCATTTAAAACAATTCAAAGCAGAAGATCTGCCAGTTTGGTTAAGACKTCACAATTTTTAACCAAGGAAGATCCCAGTGTAAAGATCATTTTGCCAGGGATTTTTATGGYAACATACTGCAACTGTAATCAGCAGAGAGGGATATTACCACACTGCCCAAGGAAAGAGAAGAAGCCATTGCAACTGGAACAGAGACTAGTTCTCCAACCAGAATAACTCTGATAATGTTCAAGTAATCTGCAAGCTAACCACTTGAAGGCTGCMGCTGTATCATAATCTGGCAAAATCATTAAAATCAGCTTGAGCATCTCCCCAACAAAGATTTATTTAATAATGGTTTCAAACTACTGGTTATTAAAGAAAATCTCACAAATAACTTTACAAATAAAAGACTATACATTAAATTCTGCATTTTCTTAGTATGTGATGTCAAAAATACTGTTGATAGAATGAAGGTTTCCAGCATAAAACCAATTACAATACTTCTTTCTACCTTCATATCTTCTTAGGGACCTTGATCTTGCCTGTTCTTCTCCCTCTGCTTTTTGCATTCCTGAACTCCTTTTCCCAACCTGCACCTCTAAGCATCTTTCATGGAAGTCCATATTCTTCTGCTATAGTCTTGAAATTTCATAATACAATACATCAAAGATCCAGCTAGTCAAAAATTCACTTTTTAACAACAGATTAGAGCTGTGCACAGTAYGAAAATTATGAAGGACACAATAATACTTCTTTGCACAATTTCTCAGCATCCAGCAATCTGTGACTTCCTACACTATTTAGAACTCTGGATTCCTAGTATTGAAGAGATAAAGGAGTTCACAGTAGTAGAAATAGTGCAACTTTCAGTCACTTTGCAATGGATAGATGACTTTTTTCCATGACCATCTTACAAAATTTCTCATTAAAAATTTGTAAATTTGACATTACAGAAGTTCCCACCTTTTTTATACTGCATATTTTGTAGTCATCTACAATCTACAAAATTTTTAACATTATCCAAATGAATGAAAACCATTTCATTTCTTTAATCGTCCTGATTGTGGTTCATAATAATGTATTTTATTTTCCTGACCCTTAATTTCATGATGATTTAGTACTTAATTTATTTTTCTGATCACTATTGGGTATTAAAATGGCATATTTTTCAAAATTAGCTTTTAGAATACCTCTTCACTAAATAACAAGTGCTGAAAGCCAATTACAAGTTCCATGTCTACTATCCACAACAACTTAACTCACTCTCTATAAGCTCTTTGCCAGTTTTTCCAGACCATTTATGAGTATGCCAAATTAAAAGGCCCCACTATTGTGCTCCTCTTTCCTATTGTATCAAACATCCTTTAATTCATTCCTCCCTCCCTTCTTTTCATTTCCAGGTTTTATCAATTAAATTTAGGTTTCCAGCAGGTGATTCACCCCAAAGAKGAACTCTGGTAAGTAATTCATGCCAAAGGTGTGCTTCAGATGCTCTCTCCAGAAGCAATACTTAGTAAATTTCCTTCTAGGGAGAAGGCAGTTCATCATAAAAAAATGGTAAGAATCAGAAATAAAGAAACTACAGTCTCTAAATTCTCATGGATTTCCTGGGACAAACTCATTTTTCCAAAGACTAGTTCATATGAGAACTAGTCAAATTGTCACAAAAGATTAGCTCATATGAAAAAAAAGTATTTAATTTGTACCCAAAATAAATTAGCTATACAGAAATGGTAATTGTCTTCTGATATCTAGTTCACATACATATATATATATATATAAATTAATATTCTTTGACAGATTTTCTGACAGAAGCAGCACTCCAATTCTGTTTCTTTTTCCTTACCAGTACTTGAAATATATGAAAAGCTTTTGTGTTACCAACAGAATTCCAAACAAAAAGGTGAAAACATCAGTAATTCCAATTATTATTGAAGCASTGAAAATAGAAATTGATTTTGATACTTTGAGTTTGACTAAGTGATTTTAGAAAATTCTCTTACTTATTAGATACATAATTAGATTTACATAATCTGGCAGCCAACAAAAAGAAAGCAAGYGATGAAAAGTTCATAAACCAAATAAGAAGAGGCTTTTGACTTCTGGCTTGCCCCACCTCAAGCAGCTTAAAATCCCATTTTTATTCTTCCAAATATGACAGAAAACATTCAGTTGCAATCATTTACACATGCAAGAGACAAAGACCTAACTGACTTAGAAAACAAAGAAATATGTGTTTCTGTGACTAAAAACACTAAAARAAAGAAAGATAACCCCAAAATCAATGGAATCAGATCAGGCTGGGGGAAAAGGGAGGAAGTTTGCATCTTGCTGGACACTTCAAAACCACAAAAAAAAATCAGTACTGGCACAAAATGAAGCTCTCCTATCCTCTCTGCTTTGTTTCTTCCTGCCCCGTTGAGTACTGGCACTGTGCTTACATAACTAAAATGTGAAACAGAGTGGGAAAATTAGTCCAGATGGGACTGTTTTTCTACCAGTTTTTTACCAATCTAGTTAACCACAGAGCCTACGGAATATTTGAAACAGCATATGTGACAGTTCAAAAAACCACCAAAAGCTTAATATAGAGTGAATTTCAGTAGCGGTACAGGCTTACACTGGTTTAAGCTGTTTATCAGCCGAAAAGCAGATTTGGAAATCCATTACATATGACCAAAAAACACCTACCGAATCAATTCAGAGTGATACCACATAATGTTTTCAAAATCTGCAGTCTACAATCCYGGTGTGGGATAATCAGCTCATGTGAAGTAAACTCTTCAGAAAATATTTTACTACATTTGCTAAGTATCCCACTTAAAATTTTAAYGTGAAAATAYATTTATCCTAATTCCAACAGACTTTTTATTAAATTGTATGGTAAAATCAGTATAGTTCAACCTTCACTTCTATTGGCATCACTTCCAATACTGAAATCACAATCTATTCGCTTTACTTAGTCCTGGTGAAAATGGCAATTGTCAATTTAAATTTATTTTCATGCTCAATCCATTCATTATTATTCCTGCTTTCTTCAACTACAACTAATACTGAAACAACATACCTGAACTCTGAATTTCCAGGTTGTCCCAACAGGAACACCAGGTATAGGCCCATAATGATTTGAAGGAACAATAGTGCATTCTTTAGTGCGACCAACACAAGCCATGCCCTAAAAATACATCAGACAAAATGAATCAGTATTACAATATTGGAGACTATTTGCAAATTCAATGCAGAGATCATGAAATCTGTGTATTGTAACAAACACATCCTTTAAAATATGTTAACAATTGTTAAAAGGAATGTTAAATTAAGTAATACGTGTTGATGGGTTTGGGAGGGGAGTTGGGGGCTGTCTTTTTTTGTTGTTCTTACCTCTAGTCACCTTATTACTTCTTCCACTGCTTTAACTGCCATAAGACAGTGGGCAGGATTAAACATTGTCTAGTTGTCTGTGCAACCCAGTACTGAATTTTGTGYAGTGCATATATAACCAGAATTACAGATGTAGCACATACATAAACAATCAGAGTAAATCAGAGCTATTTCTAAAACACACTCTACCTTTCCCCAGTCTCTCTGGCTTTCAGTACTGGCAGATGGCATCTTTGCTTTCTTTTTACTCTGTTTGAGCTTTTCTCCAGCCTTTACAACTTCATTAGAATCATTTTTGCAGGAAGGACAATACCTAAAAAAAGGTTTTAGTAAATTCTCAATTAACTTCATAATAATGGCAATACATTTCTTGTAGCCAAAGTAGTGTCATTTTGTTTATTTTGACTGTATGTTTCAAGCCAGCAAGCATACACCAGTCTTAAGCAGCTGAAGTCTGTGGCTTAAAAAATGAACTCAACATGATCAATACTGTCAACTTTTCTAAAAAAGGGCTTTTAAATACCTTTAAAGGTAGAGTGCTAGAATACAACTATTCTTTCTCACGTGAAATGTTAGAGGTCCCCAAGTCTCCAGTAGTCTTCTCTTCACTTAGTCCTCTTTCATTTATACAATGTAAAGGAGAAGATAGCTGAGATTAGAGTATGCTGCTAACCAGTACTCATGGTCTTTTTTTATGTCCTGCCYAGTCTACTCATATTTTTTGCCTGTAGTGCAACAAATTTCACTGCAGATAGCTGAATGTCAAACAGAGCCAAGGTATGACATAATATGTGTAGAAACACACAAACACACACTAATGCACTCCACAACACTGAAGTCACTTAGAAAACAATGCTGAGACTCATTCCAAATAACAGAAAACCATTCTGGCASGAAAGCAGAGATACTAGAATGCAGTGACTACACAAGAGAAAGAAAGCGAGCACAGTGGTCCTTCTGCTGTTTCCAGTAACATTCTTATCCCACTCCAAGAACATCGATACCAAGGCATGTCCATGTTCCTGGCTCCCATAGGCTGGGTTTGGCCCATGCACCRTTAGAAGAGGAAGCCTTATCTACATTAACATTGATAACCTAGTTCAGATAACAACAACAACTACCACTACTACTATTACTACTACCACTACTACTGTTTTGGATTTATTAAGTTCTGTATGTGGATATCATTAGAGGAATGAATGATTAATGTCCTCAGGAATAGATTTCATTATCACAATAAAGTGTTGAACCATTAAAACAATGAAGCCATGTAGATTTAAAAAAAATAAGGTAAGATGCTGAAATTTTAGAACACTAAGACTTTGAAGGATCTTACAATTGCTTAAAAAAAGTGGGCAATGACCAATTAAAAGAACAAACAAGACATAATGCAAATTCACAAGCTGAACTAGGTGAAATCACATGGTGAATTCCCTRTTTCTTGACAGAGCAACAATATTACCTTAATAACTTTTAAACTGACTCTTCCATGGAATACTAAATACTGTTTCACATACAGAATTATGAATTAATCCCCACAAGACAAATTTGCACCTAAATTGAAGGTTTAACCCCTGAAGAGAGTTTGCCAGATTTTAAACTCTAAAAACATGAAATGGAAATATTTCCATTTCCAAAGCAAACTGCCCACAAGTTGAGAATCAGAAAGCCATGATTCTTTGCCAGCAAACAACAAGAAGGAAGGGCACAAACTTCTTTGGTAGGAGATTCTGCCTTGCCTGGCACAAATGCACATCTATATAATGACAACCATTAAGACAGCATATGGCTGGTGTCACTAAGCATCCCAAAGTTAGCTCACATAAGCCAGATCCATAACTTTACATCTACGACCCTGTGACTTCATCCACAGATGCAGCTATCAACTCACATTTATAGATTTTAAGACTCCTATTGTTAGTTATACAGCAAACAAAAACAAGCTAAAAAATTTGAGAGCAATTTTCCAGTAAGTTTTAATGATACAGATTTAACTTCCAGAAATTTGTGATTTGGAGAATTGATCAAGACTAGGTCTGGAGAGGAGAAGGATTTTGTGATCAGAAGGCTCACCATGACCCAGCAATGTGCACTCAARGCCCAGAAAGCCAACACTAATCCTGGGCTGCATCCAAAGCAGTGTGGCCAGCAAGTTCAAGGAGGTGATTCTGCCTCTCTACTATGCTCTTTTGAGACACCACCTGCAGTGTTGCACCCAGCTCTGGGGCACCCAGCACAAGAAAGACATGGACCTGTTGGAAGAGTCCAGAGGAGGGCCACAAAGTGGATCAGAGGGCTGGAGCAYCTCCTGCTATAAAGACAGGCTGAAAGARTTGGGGCTGTTCAGTCTGGAGGCTTCAGGAAGACCTTACAACACTTTCTAGCTGTTTTAGATTTTAGTAAGAAATTCTTTGCTGTGAGGACAGTTGCTCCAGAAAACAGGCAGACCATCAAGCACTGACCAACAGACACYATGGAAACCACTAAGGTGTAGGAGATTGAGTTATTAATTCACAGAGAATGTTTAACCTTCCAAAAGACTTACATAAATTTTTACATAAAATACAATCACAAGGCTCAAAGAGATTCCATATAATGTATTCATAGACATCTTASACACTTAATGAAAGCTATGTAACAGAAAACTTTATTAGAACAAACTTATATTTATTACCCATTTATAAAGGATTAGCATCTCAAATAAGTCATAGRCAGATGATAAACATGAACAGTGTAAAATGTAGACAGCTAATAAAGCCATAAGAGTAAGCACATATAGGAAATGAAGACTAGCAATGTGGTCCTTCCATAGCATGAAACATGAACGTAGTAGAGGTGACAAAGCGCACAGGGGCAGCAACASGGACAGAGAATGACGGGACAGAGAAGTATGAGCATAAGAGAACTGCTCAAGCAGCAAAGCTTTTAAAAAATGAATAGGCTGACGAACAACAACGTTCAATAAATGCAATCCAATCAGGTAATGTCGCAGAAGATTGTAATGATCATAATGAATAAAATGAACATACCAGCCTTGAAATTCCACAATGATCATTAAAGTTTACTACTAACCCTTCGTGAATGATTCAAAAGAATTATCTTGACCAAAAAACGTAAGCCTTATATTAAGCAGTTGGATGGAAACATGACAGAATTTGAAAACATCTTCAGTATTTTCTTTCATGAGGTGCAAATATCAAAAAGGTATATACCRTGTATATAATGTCAATATAGGTAAGTAAATCATCCTTGTATATTTACCAGTCTTCATCTTCTGGTATCTTGCTTAAGGGAGGGTTCAGGCAGTATATATGATAAGCCATATTACATTCATCACACAGGAGTTGCATGTGAGCATCCTGTTTGCCACCACACAAGTAACACGAACAAAACCGGCACTCCTTATCTGGATCAGCCCTACAGTGCTTGCATTCAGGGCCACTTTTTCCTGTCAAAAACAAAGAAATGTCAAATGCCATATAGTTCAGAAAAGTGCATTACTGTATGTGCAGGAAAAATTATTTCTGAATATGAACACTGAACTCTTGAAAATGCTTATTTTCTTGTAAAGTATGTAACTCTCTAAGCCACTGAGATTTCTTCTGCTGTACAAACAAGCCAAAAAGAAAAYGAACAATCATCAGCTTCTCTTTATTTTCTCCTGATCCCAAAATGTACCTGCACATTCCATCCCCTACAGATGGAACTTTGCTGCCTTTTGAAGCTGTACAGTTTATCAGTTCCTTGATAGTTAGCTTTGATAATATAATCAATCAAAGTAAATATTTCTTTCAGGAGTTTATTCTTGAATAGAAATCTGAGGCAGATCCTTGAAGTATCCAGAGGAGTTCTGTATACTTTAATGTTTTTCTTAAGTATACTGAGAAGGAAATCAGTAACTGAGGGTTTGCAGAAATACAAGCCTCTTTCTACTGAAGAAAAACATGCCCTCTCAACTGAATAAACTTTACAGAGAAATTGATCCACATAGTTGCAAGCATAAAATCTGTGTGGAGAGAAACTCCAGACGGAAAGTTTTATAAGAAAGGGGGCATTGTGCAGTCTTTCTGGAGGACCTTGAAGAATACTTTTATCTTCAAAGGCAGAACCAACTAGACTTGAAGGGGAAATGGGATGGAGTTTTGATCAACAAAGAAGAGTCATGGAATGCTGATGAATTAAAAACTAACAGGGGAACACCTGCAAAATGCCTCAAAGGAACGAGAGCTTTTTCATCTAAAAAGTTGACATAGTTGATAGCGCAACTGAAATGTCTATCCACTAGCAGATGTAGCATAGGTAACAATCAGAAGAATTGGAAGTGRCTGTGCAGATGGAAATCTATGATCTAATCACAAACACTGAAAGTGAGTGGGACAAATCAYATAACTGGAGCACTCCAATTGATAGCTACAAACTTCAGAAGGGACAGGCAAGGAAGGTGGAGCAGGCAATTTGCCCTCCATGGACTGATTGCATAAAYCTCTCTTTGAAAAACAGCAGTGAACAGGTCAAGAACTTGTGGCTGAAAATCAGAGGACAAACCAACAAAGGAAACCTCATGATTTACGCTTATTACCAGCCCCTCAACTGAGGGGAGCCTGTTGACAAAACCTTCTTACTTCACCTACAGGAAGCATCACTCTGGGAGTTTCTCATCCAGCTGCAGGGACTCAGGTGACAGACACCCTGACATCTGCTGTAAAAGCAGCTCGGCAAGATGTAAGCAGACCAGGAGATTCTTGGAGCATCAAGGATAATTTCTTAACCCAGGTGACAGAAAAGTGTTCCTGCACCTTGTGCTTACTGACACAGATTAACAAACTGGAGAGGTCAGGATCAGTGGCAGCCTCAGCTGAAGTGATCACACCCTGGCAGAATCCATGATCTCAAGGGTTATGGGCCAAAGAAAAGCTAAAGTCAGCCCTCTGAATTTTAGGAGCCTTGAACATTTATTTATTTAAGGGATTAGTGGATGGGACACTCTGGAAAATGGCACTCAGGAAAAAAGGCACAGAATAGAACAGTCAGATGTTTAAGGACATTTTTCCTAGAGCCCAAGACTTCTCAATTCCCACCACTGAATATTGAGGCAAGGAAYGCAGGAGACGAGAAKGGGTCAGCAAAGACCTCCKGGCCAAAGYGAAACATAAGAAGGAAAAGCACAGGTAGTGGAACCAGGGACAGGTATCCTGGGAAGAAAAGAGATGTGCTGTCTGGTTGWGTAGGCACAGGATTAGAAAAGCTAAGGTACGGCTGGAGCTGAATTTGGCAAGGGATACAAAGAATAATAAGAATGGCTTCTATAKACATGTTGGTCAGAAGAGAAAGAAYAAAAAACATGTACACACATATGCCTATCCTCCACTTTGTCCCCAAAAATGGGACAAAACTAATCACAATCAGCATGGGGAAGGTTGAGGTATGCAGCAWTTTTTTTGCCTCAACATCCATTAGTAATCATCTTCCCACACATCTCAAGTTCCTGAACCTCAAGGGAACTGAAGAAATGAAGCCACTTCCAGTATAAGAGCAGATCAGGTTCAAGACCATCTGAGAATCTGAACATACACAAGACCATGAGAGCCAGTGAGGTGTGTCACAGGATCCCAAAAGAATTGGTTAATGTCGTTAACCACTCTCCATCATATACAAAAAGTCATGGCTGTCACACTATGTCTTAAAATCCAAGGCAGTCAGGGTAGCCCCCAATAACTGGAGAAAGAGGAGTATTTCAACCTTTTTAGAAAAGGGTGAAAAGCTGGAACTCAGGAATTATTGTAGTCAGCCTCAACTCAGTGCCCAGTAAGATCAGAGACTTCTASGAAGACATGTCAAAACATGGTAATCAAAGGTAAGCCAAAATGGCTTCACCAAGGGCAAAAAACATCTGACTGACACAGTGGGCCTCCACCATGGACAGAATGCATCAGTCAAAGGAGAATTACAGATGTCATTTATMTGTCTGTAAGGCCTTTGCTTTGGTCCCTTACAGTATTCTTGACATAAAATCACAGAATTATAGAATATAATGACTGGATAGGGACCCAAAAGAATCACTTACATCCTACTCCTGGCCCTGCACAAGCCACCCGAAGGACCACATCATGTGTGTGAGAGCATTATCCAAAAGCTCCTTGAAGCCTTGTCAGGCTTGKTGCTGTGATCATGTCCCTGGGGAGCCTGCTCCAGTGCTCAGCCATCCTCTGGGTGAAGAASCTTTTCCTGGTATCCAATCTAAACTTCCCCTTACATAGCTTCAGGCCATTCCCTCTGGTCCTGTCACTGTCACCACAGAGAARAGATCAGTGCCTGCCCCTTCTCTTCCCCTCATGAGGAAGCTGTAGCTGCAATGAGGTCTTCCCTCAGTCTCCTCCAGGCTGAACAGATTAGCTGCTCCTCCTATGGCKTCCCTTCATGGCCCTATATCATCTTTGTGGCCCTCCTTTGGGACATGCTCTAGCTTCACAGCGGTCTTACATTCTTGCTGTTAAAAYGAAGAGAGATGGATTTGATGACTGAAATGTTGAGTGGATAAGGACTTAGTTGGATGGCCGAAGTGAAAGAGTGGATGGTCCACATGCAATGGCTCAATGCAGAAATGTAAACCAGAAAGAAGTGGTGTTCTTTAGGGGTCWTACTGAGACCACTATTACTATATACCTTCATCAATGATATACCCAGTGGAATTGAGTGCACCCTAAACAAAGCTGTAGATGACACCAAGCTGAGCAGTGTAGTTCATCATAGAATAACARAATTGTTAAAGTTGGAGAATACCTTTAAGATCATCAAGTTTGACTGTCGAACCTCGCACCACCATCATGTTCAGCACTACACCATATTCCTCAAGTGCCACATCCACTCACTTTTAGAACACTACCAGGAATAGTGATGCCACCATTTCCTTGGGGAACTTGGTCTAATGTTTAACAACCGCTTCCATTAAGAAATTTTTSCTAATGTCTAATCAATATTCTGGGGCACATGGTGTGACTCACTTCTGAAACTCCATGTCTTGTAGTGAGAGGCCCAGCAGTGACAGCAGGATCCAAGGTGTGGCCTCACCAGTGCTGAGTACAGGGGGACAATCCCTGCCCTGGYCCTGCTGGCCACACYRTTGCTGATCCAGGCCAGGATGCCATTGGCCTTCTTGGCCACCTGGGCACACCCTGGCTCATGTTCAGCCGCTGTCACCAGCACCCCCAGGTCCTTTTCCTGTGGGCAGCTTTCCAGCCACTCTGCCCCAGCCTGTGGCACTGCCTGGGGTTGTTGTGACCCCAGRGCAGGACCCGGCCCTGGCCCTTGTTGAACCTCACACCCTTGGCCTTGGCCCATGATCCAGCCTGGCCAGATCCCTCTGCAGAGCCTTCCTGCCCTCCAGCACATCAGCACTCACACCCAGCTTGGAGTTATCTGCAAACTGACTGAGKGWGCAYTCAATCTYCTAACCCAGATCATCCATAAGGATTTTAACAGAACTGGCCCCAGTACTGAGCCCTGGGGACCAGCACTGGTGACTGCCACCAGCTGATGTGACTCCATCCACCACTGCTCTCTGGGCCCAGCCATGCAGCTTTTCACACAGCGAACAGTGTGCCCATCCAAGCCATGAGCAGTTTTTCCAGAAGAATGCTGTGGGGAAAAAATGTCAAAGGCCTTGTGAACTCCAGGTAGACAACATCCACAGACTTTCCCTCATCCTCTAGATGGGTCACCCTGGGCCTGCCTTTCACAAATCCCTGTTGGCTGGGCCTGATCGCCTGATGGCCTGGCTGCCCTGCACGTGATGTGTGGTACCACTGGGGATGGTGTGCACCGTGATCTTCACCAGCACTGAGAACAGGCTGACTGACCTGTAGTTCCCCAAAAACTCCTGACCGCTATTAGGAGAGGTCCAGAAGAGGGTCATGAAAATGACCAGAGGGCTGGAACACCCCTCCTATGAAGAAAGGCTGAGAAAAGATGGGTTTGTTCTGCCTGGGGAAGAGAAGGATCTAGGGAGACCTTTCTGTGGCCTTTCAATACCTAAAACCGCTTTATAAGAAAGATGAGAAAAGATTTTTTTACCGAGTAATAACATAGAGAAATAGTAATGACAACAAGCAGCAGTTCTAAATTGAAAAAAAAAAACAAACCCAGATTTAGATTGGCTACAATGAAGAAATTTTTTACTTGAGGGTGATGAGACAGGTTACCCAGGTTTGCGTGAGGGTGATGAGACAAGTTACCCAGAAAAGGTGTGGATGTTCCATCCMTGGAACCKTCCAAAATCAGGTTGAAAGGGGCTTTGAGCAACCTGATTTAATGAAAGATATCCCTCCAGCAGGAAGGTTAGACTAGAAGATCTTTAAAGSTCCCTTCCAACTAAAACCATTCTATGATAAGAAGTGCTAGATCACTGCAGTTTGAATCATTGTTTTTAACTGAAAAACTTTAAAACTGAAGGACATGAAAGAATCAATAAAGAGGGACGATTATCAACTGCAGATAGAAGGTTTAGTGACATGTACCAACTGGAAAACCTGAAAAACAAACACATAAATCTACAAGCAGTGACTATTTTGCGAAGTCTCAAAGGCAAAGGTACACTTAAATATGTTTTTTTTTTTTAAAGTGCCAAAATCTATGAGAATATTGCTTCTAATAAAGCCTAGTCTAAAAGACTTATCACGCTATCCAAATGAAGGTAATTGTCTACTAGCTTGAGACTTCTCTCCCAAGGTTCATTTCAAGACAAAGAAAAAATTTTAAGATTGCTTATGAAAAAGCCTGAAGGTTTTCTAGTACAGCTAGGCTAAATTCACAATCTGTCCAAGGTATCAACACCAATTCAAGTCAGACTAAGACATCCCAGATAATYGTTAACTAAACTGAAAAATTTTAAAAGTGAAGACTAAGCACTCCCCAATGAAACCCACTAGTCTACCTCATCTAATAAATGACAGATAAAATGAAACTACATATGTTTTGTATCTCTTAGCACCACATGTTATTTACACCAATGTAATTAATGTCAGTTTGAAACCAGTTTCTTAGGTAAAAGGTTAGTAATTATTTTTTGAATGGGAAAAGAACAAAGAAGGTCTACATATTTTAGTTCAATTAAACAATACCTGAAGCTCTCAACTTTCTTGAATATATAAACAAATTACAAACTGTCATTTTAATGACATAYCTTTCATTTTTCACATTCCTGTTTCAACCATATTGAAAGTCATATGCACAAACTGTAGCTGCACTATTGGTCCCATGAAGTCAGGGATACCTCAACCAACAATGCAGAGTTTAGTTGTGTA